CGTGATTTTTGAAAAAATGTTAAACTTCATCTATCTGTCTTAGAGTTATCTGTTTTTGAATTTTTTTTAACTTGAAATGCATATACATTTACACATTTATTTATTTATTTGTTTGTTTGTTTACTTAAGTTTTATTTCCAGGTTTAGGTTAAACCTTAAATCCTAGATTCTCAATGTGGTCTCTGATTTTTAGACTTCACTGTATTTCTCTCTTACACACACACACACACACAGTTTCACACATAACTAAATCAAACCTAAGTGTGCATGTGTAGTTGCATCTTCGCGTGAGGATGCATGTGTTATTGAACATGTGTGTACCAGTCTGTTGAAGCCGAGGGCACGCAGAGCCTGTTTAAGGGCCAAGAGCTTCTCTCTGCTCTGAGGAGACGCTGTAGCTACTGCAGGAGTTTGACCGGGAGCCGCTGTGTTCATACACCTGAAAACAAACAAACAAACAAACACAGAAGACACATGATTAGTGCGATTTAAGATTAGAGACGATTTAGACTTTACGTTGCCAGTGGATTCTGGATGTGAGTATTTGGTCTGGGCCTTTAAGAGTGCTAAGTAAAGTTTAAGATGTTCTAAGTGTCACTGACATAATCACAAATTCAAGTCAAAGAAAGGTGAATGTTACATTTTTAATGACAACCTTCCATTTACCCCTATGCAAGATTTGCTGGGGACACTTGAGAGTTCACAGAGAGTCCAGGGTAAAACAAGTTTAAAACTGGCATCTGACATCAGCCAATATTACGTTTTTTTTCCCATTTTGAAAAATCCTGATGAATGTTAAATGCTGAAACCGCATCAATCTGACAATGAAAATGCAATGCATTAAATGCTGAATTTAATAATCACCAGTCTTATATTATACATGTCTCATAGTACCCTTTACTACAGTGTAAATCACATAGAGATGAATATGAAAAAAAATGAGAAAAACTGAAAGACTAATGACAACCTACTTTTCAAGTTGGTGTTCTATGTAAACTCTGGGTAAATCCATTATTTTCATTTCTTTGTGCAAATTTAAAGGTTTATTTAAAATATATAAATATTTTAACTTATTAAAATTTCCTTATTTTGAAACACTTATTGGCAGTGTTAGTGAATAAAATAAAATAAAATAAAACAAAAAATAAAATAAAATAAACCCTCATTGCCAATGTTTGTGAACTAAACAAAAATCCTTACTATAAAATAAAAGCCTTATTCACAATATGTTTGAATTAATAATAAAGTAACACATATATATATATATATATTTATGACTACAGGCTATGATTTTATAAGGGAGGTCTTTGAAAATAGGTGGAATACAGAATGATATAACATGCCTATCAACATTGCGTGTGTTACCTGTGGGCTAGGACATTGTTTAGATATAGATTACTCTTCTCCTCTGCAGAAAGCCCCTCGGCCATCAGGTAGAAGATGTTAAAGTTCTGCTGATGCGGTGGAGTGCAGATGACCCTCGACTTCTCCAGCATGTAAGTGTACAGACGACCTAAAACACAAACACAGTAAGAGAAGAGTTGTAGAGGCATTAGTAGAGCAATGTCTCCCTCTATAGGTGAAGGATGATGGAGCAGAAGTCCTCTCTGCTGAGACCTGACAGCATATCACATGAATGCATTAGCACGTTCTCTATTTCTACACATTCAGCATATTAAAGCAACACTATGAATAATCGAAGTGCAAACAGGAGCAGTGTAACTACCTCGGAGTAGAGTCTTTCTCTTCTCACAGTACTGCAGTGAGATCAGATTGATGAAGCGGCTTGCTGAGGAGTTCATCTGAGTCTCAGCATGACCGAAAGCTTCCAAGATCACATTCACCTGCAAACATGACAGAAAAATGAAGAAGTGATTACAAAACGGTGACAGAGATTCCCATGTGGAC